TCCAGTTAAAAAACAAACAGTTCTGAATCGGAACAGAGAAGTACAGTGCTGCTTAGCTCTTAAACCCGCTCCACACTGCCAGAGCTGTGCCGCTGAGTTACCTCAGTTCTCATAGTTCTCACAGATACTTGTCTGTAGAGAAACACACTTTGTGGGTCCTTATCTTTCTGTTCTTTTGACTAAGCACTAGTAGCGGAGACCTACTAGAAATGAATGAAAGGGGAGATATGGGTAAGAATTGAATGGGCATTTTACTGCTGGGAAAATGATGCAAAGTATGAGGATATCTTTCCACAGAAGCAGACTGTCTTTCCCCAGTGAGGTGGGTGGGACCCTGGTAGAAAGCATCTACTAGAGCAGAGCCCAAGTATTATTCTGTGAAAGAATACCCACCACATAGCCAAACTACATCCCTCTTCTCCATGTAAGTCTCCCAGGCTATGGAGAGATGGTAGAATTGTGAAGGACCAAAATCAGCCAGCAGTTAGTAGCTCAGAGTGGGGGGAAAAGCGTACCAGTCTTATTAATGGTGGTGATGGTTTAGTCACTAAGTCGTGTGTCTGACTCTTGCAACCCCAGGGGCTGTAGCCCACCAGGCTCCTCTGTTCATGGGGTTTCTCAGGCAAGAATACTGGAGTGGGTTGCCATTTCCTTCTCCAAGGATCTTCCTGACCCAGGGAATCAAAATCCAGGTCTCCCTGCATTTCAGACAGGTTCTTTTTTTTTTAAATTAATTTATTTATTTTAATTGAAGGCTAATTACTTTACAGTATTGTGGTGGTTGTTGCCAGACATTGACGTGAATCAGCCACGGGTTTACAGCAGGCAGCTTCTTTACTGACTGAGCTACAAGGGAAGCCCAGAGAGAAACTCAAATCAGGTCCAGTCTTTCAGAGCATATGCAACAGCTTGACTGAAACCAAGCATGTGCAGAATGAAGACAACAAAAAACATATCTATAGCATAGCACTTGTGCAAACAATTGTATAAACCTGCTGGAGCTAAATGAAATAAATACAGTGTACACCAAAAAATCCAAAGGAAAAACTGTAACCCAAATAGCCCAAAGAAAATCTTACAGTTGCTTCATAATAAAGAACAAATTAAAAAGAACACATATTCAATAAAGTCAGATCCCAAAGCCTAGAAGACAAAAGGGATATATCATAATACATCTGAAGAAACAAATTGAGGACCAAATGAAAACCATTATTGATTAAGTGACTAACCAAATATAAGGTAATGGATAAACACCAGATTGTCTTAGTGACGTATTAAAATGACTTGTGATAATGATTGTGTATATGAATGAAACAGATGAGAATAAAGTAGCTTTCAAGAATCTTACAGACATGGAACACAACTAAAGTTAATTCAACATAAATGTAATTTGTGTCCTTGAATGGAAGACCCAAAATATGGAATATATCATATAATATAGGAGGAATTCCTTAAAATGAGCATTGAATCTGTGTAGTAAAAAAATCACAGTATATTTCAGGAAATTTATAATCAGAACATTGAATTTGAGATGTGTCCTAGATAAGCTGATACACTTGTAAGAAAAATAATTGTTTAGACATTCAGGCAGCAAGATGCTATCAAAGGGAAAAGACGGTGATAAAAATTGTCAACGTTAAATATACTCCAAAAATACAAAATTCACTTTAAGGATGTGACAGGGTTTTCAGAGCTGGAGGAATTGCTTAAAAAATTAAAATTCAGTAAATCAATCAAAATGAAGAATTCATGAATGGAAAAACTGTGTAAAAGATGTGGCTGTGAGCATTTAATCCTGTCTGAGATAATGTGAATTTTAAACAATTTTGGGAATAATTGACAACCAAGAGAATGTAAATATATAAATCCAGACAATTTAAAAACTGTAATATAATTAACAAAATAGCAAAGTTATAGAGGAGAATTTGGAAAAAGCATGAGAATGCTAAATACCCTCATCCCTCATTGAGACCAGGGAGTTAGTTGATGCCAACTAAACTAAACATGTAGTTAGAAATTATTCTAGTTTTAGTTTTTTTTCAAAAATTAATTTTTTTAAAAAATTGATCTTTTAAGAAATATACCTGCTAACCATTTTTAAGATTCAATTTGATTACTGCTATTCATTTCAAATTTAATTAAATGATATTCTATAAATTAAGATTAATAAGCAGTTGAGTCCCATTTTTTAAAATGTCTTTGTGTTCATCAGTTTACCTTCTTCCGTAAACATGCCCTCACATATCTGCAGTTTCTAGTTTGTGGGTTTGGAATAACTTTTTCCTTCTTTTTGCTTTTACTTTATATTTTTCTGCATTGTTTTAATTCTCTGCACTGAGCATATCTAGCTCTTCTGAAAATCAGTTCATTTCAAGTGCTCAGTTGTGTCTGACTCTTTGCAACCCCATGGACTGCAGCAGGCCAGGCTTCCCTGTCCATCACCAGCTCCTGGACCTTACTCAAACTCATGTCAACTGAGTGAGTTCTGAAAATAATGGAGCAATTATTATTTTCTTTTTAAAATAAAGACAGAGTGAAGATAGGTTGAAAGTAAATGCATCAATATGTTAAAGTGTTGCCACAGTTAAACTTTGGGAAGCTGTGAATGTAGCTTTTTATTCTATTCTGTATTTATTTGAAAAGTCAAAAGTTAAAATATTAAAAGGACTTAGTAGCTGATGTCTAGATATCTTCTTAATTTAGTTAGAAGATACTTATTAGAGATCTGCAAGGTTTCTCAAAAATAAAAGTCACATAGTTTATGTTCCATATTCCCATGTATTAGGAAGTCAGTAAGCAAGAAAAATATTTAATGTGACTAAAATTTTTGTCAGAAAGCATATGCATTAAAATGCATGCACTATTTTCCTATAAAGAATCTTAGATTTTCCATCAGAACATATTTTTATATATTTTAACAGGTTTTATAATGTAATATCAAAATCCTCTGATAATTAGAAGCTAGAAATTGGAGGGGAGACATACAGACCAAAGAGTAATAGGTGATAGAGTGATTGCAGTAACAAGAAGAAAAAGAGCTGACTGCCCAACTGAGCAAGGAAATAAGCAAATTATAAATGAGGAAAAAATAAACAAAAAAGAGAGAAACAAGAGCCAGAACACCATCATGGTTTGAGAGGACTTCGTGCAGGAGTAGATTTTTCTGCTCACCTCTGTAGTTCTTAAGCACCGCATACTGTAGAGAACACAGAATTCCATAATCCTAATTATGATCCTGAGTCATTAAAAGATCACATGTTGTATGTTTAAAACAGAGACTTCCCTGGTGGCTCAGTGGTAAAGAATCCACCTGCCAATGCAGGTGACCTGGGTTTGATCCCTAGGTTGGAAAGATCCCCTGGAGAAGGAAATGGCTACCCACTCCAGTATTATTGCCTGGAAAATCCCATGGACAGAGGAGCCTGGAGGGCTTCAGTCCATGGGGTCACAAAAAGTCAGATACGACTTAGCAGCTGAACAATAACAGCAATATTTAAATTAAGAATTCAGAGATACTTAAATTATATTTTGATATACCCAGAAAAAATCATTTTGGAACTTAAAGGAGTAATTTTTTGATTATTTGGAAAAATAACTTGAATATCCCCACTCTTAATGATGCTGAATAAATGAGGCATTTCTCTAATTATTGTTTTACATTTTGTTGCATGAAAACAATGCAATTAGCATACAGGCACATAGCATTAGTCTTGTCTATTCTCTTTCTAAGTAGTGGATGGTAATCTTCAAATAAATAATTACCCTTCTTTTTAAGTTCCTTAAGACAGCAAATGCATAGAATATACCCCCTTACTTCAGAATTTAATAACCTACATTCTCCAGAAGGGAAAAATGAGTACATTTATTACCTGAATTTTGTGAGGCTATAAATATTATCATAGAAAACTTAATTGGCTGTTAAAACTTGAAAAAGTGGGTGCACAGATGCTCCATTTATTTTTTCTCTTCAAATCCTTCCACCTATGTATCATGCCATATGCTGTTGACAAAGGAAGACATATCCTGGTAGAACTGGGCTTGTAAAAACCATTGTGAAGTTCTCAAGTCTAATCATGGTGGATGACAGCATCTTTCTGCTGCTTACCGGGTTACTGTTTCCATTTACAAAGCTCTCTCGCCATTTTTGAACACATAGTTAACAGAATTTGAGAGCCACCAAATAGTCTCAGGAATTTTCCATTGACATCAACAGAGAGAAAGATTGTTCTCAATGAGATTTGTCTAGTGACAACACATTTGTCAAAACCTTCCTAAGATCTAAGCACTTAATGGTTGGTTCTCAGTCGTATCTGACTCTTTTGCAACCCCATGGACTGTGGCCCACCAGGCTTCTCTGTCCGTGGAATTTTCTAGGCAAGAATACTGGAGTAGGGTGCCATTTCCTTCTCCAGGGGATCTTCCCAACCCAGGGATCAAACCCACATCTCTTGTGTCTCCTGCTTGGCAGATGGATTCTTTACCACTGTGCCACCTGATTAAATTCTATTTAAAGTGAGAAAGAAGTGTCTCAACTTATAAACCAAGACTCAGTCTTGGAAATAAACTTTAATATGTATGCATTGAGGAATCAGGACATTTGAATTCTAATGGAGATTTCTTAGTGATTAGAAATATTACCCCACTGTTCCTTACTAGAATGCTGCTGCTGCTAAGTCACTTCAGTTGTTTCCGACTCTGTGTGACCCCACAGACGGCAACCCACAAGGCTCTGCCGTCCCTGGGATTCTCCAGGTGAGAACACTGGAGTGGGTTGCCGTTTCCTTCTCCAGTGCAGGAAAGTAAAAAGTGAAAGTGAAGTCACTCAGTCATGTCTGACTCTTTGCGACCCCATGGACTGCAGCCCACCAGGCTTCTCCATCCATGGGATTCTCCAGGCAAGAGTACTGGAGTGGGGTGCCATTGCCGTCTCTGTCCTTACTAGAATAGATGCTCTCAATAGCCCTTTCTGAACTTTAAAACTTTATAATTTAGTCACAGGCTATTCATGGACTCTAACATGGTCATGCTGCTTTTTAAAACATGCTGCATTTAAAACAGAAATGTGGAGAATGTATTTGTAGAAGGTAGGGACGAATTTAGAGATAAAAGGCTGTCTGCTAGTCTGTGTGAGACACGGTGAAGCTCCAGCTTTGGGATGGAGTAGAGAGGAGAGGATCGAATCCAGAGGTGTTTTGGAACTAGAAGTGAGCAGAACATAGTAAACCAGTGAATGCTGTGGTAAGAAAGAAAATGGAATTTGGCTTGACTGCAGTGGGGGCTATGTAAATAGTAGGTCCATTGCGAGGGTGTAGATTGAAATGAATAAATTTATATACAGTATGAAATTGTCCTTGAGACGCTGGCTGGAGCTAGTTAAAAGATGATAGAGTAATAAGGGGAGAGAAACTGAGAGTAGAAAGATTTGGTTGGAAGACTCATTATAGGCTAATTAGGAGTCAGTGAAGACGGGGATGTTGAAGACCAGGAAAAAAAAGGTGAGAATCGGACGAAACTGAAGAGTAAGATTCAGAAAGAAAAAGTGGGAATAAACTAACACATTTGAAGCCTATAATTTTGAAAGGAGGGAGACTTCTTTGCCTGAGGTAGGAGGGAAGAGTGAGTTTGGGTTTACATCAGTTCAGAGGTGGGAGTTAGAAAATGTATATAGTTGTACAAAGCCTCTCAATTATCTGGTAGCTTCTGATTGTTTGAGCACACAGTGTCTAAAGGTTATACTTGGAATCACTGTCCATTATGTGGCTGAGCCAAAGTCTTCATTGTTGCCCTCTCACCAGCAGGTTCTTCAGAGTCCTAGTGTGTTTTATTGTAATATCCAAGATACGCCAAGAGGGGAAGAGTTCAGTTGAGGAAATGGGTCGTTAACTCCTTCAAGCCCTCATATACCGTGTTCTTCCAAAAAGAAGAGAGTTGAGGTCAATACTAAAATGCTCAGGCAAATCAAGAAACATAATTATAGCTTCTGAACAAATTAGTATTCCAAAGATCACCTCAGACTATCTGGTTCCCTTTTATAAAATCAATTTAATTAGTGTGTGTGCATTTTAATAAAACATTTATCTCAACCTACCAGATTGAAATTGCTACCAGTAAATATTTTGCGCATCCTTTTGTTGGTCTGAGTTACAGCCACTTTTGCTATGCTTTTTGAATCTTTTAAATGGTTTCAGAGAGCTTTCATTGTAAAAGTAAGAGTGGAAGTTCAACCAGTCCCTGTCAACTAATGATGTATTTTCAGACATTTTTTTCCTTTACCTGCCAACATTCAGAGTAAAACAGTTCATACGTAAATATATCTGATTTAGTAAGCCATTCTGTGGAGAGGAAGAAAGCACTATCTCTTAAAGGATACTAGAGCCAAAGATTAAAAAAAAATAATAATGGATATTGAGACTGTTACTTTTTTTATTTAAGGACTGTTTGGTGGTCCTGGTTTTCACCTGTTTTGAAGTAAAATCATTTTCTTGCAATTGGGGACAATATGTCTCTCCACCTAAGGAAGGTTAATGTGGTCTCTTGAAGTTTTTTGAGTATATATTTTTAGTTAATTGAATTTATTGCATCCAGATGGGTTTTCCCACTTCTTGAGTGCAGCCTGTGTTCTGTTAATAACATTTCTGAAACTAGCATCTTCATAGAAAAAGTGTAATATAGATAGCTAGACTGATAGACATACATAAGTATGTATGTCTAAATGCATATCACAAGACTCCTCTACATAGATTTTATGAAAAGAAATCAGAAACCTATCCATATATAACAATTGAAATATTAAAGTGATTTTTTTTTTTACTTGTCACTTCTGCTTTTATGACTGCCATTGGGAAAAGTAATCAGTTGGTTTAAATTCATGTAGTTTCAGGACTTTTTAAATTAACTTTAATGTTTAAATTATGAAGATTTACAGATTGAGTTTTCTAATTCCCTATCAACTTAGATGATGAACTGTTAGCAATTTTGAATTCTGTACTTAAAAAATTTAATAAAGGAAAGGATTTTAGTGCAAATCATAAACTTCTAATGAATGTACTTTTCCTATTATTAAGAACCTTTTTAAAGTTGGCACTCTTTATGTTAATATTCAGAGGCTAGATCTCAGAACAATTAGTTTTCTTTGTTCATATATACAAAAGTGCAAAGTATATCTTTATTTTTATTTCTATAAGGGTTTTAATCTGAAATATTTTCAGTTGTCTGACGCACTTTCTCCAAGGCAACTTTGAAGCAACCTGACCTACAAGTTTCTTAGGTCTTAAATATGCCTTTCTTTGAAGATTTTAGGGGACTAATACAGGTTGCAGAGAATAAAGACCTGTTATATGTACAAGGTCACTGAAGCCTCTTTAAAACCTAGATGCTTTCCCAGTCAGAAGGTGGGATGCCAGAAGAGATAGTGTTGAAGTGTCAACCTAACCCTCAAAGGCAAAACACCCGTCGTTCATTCTGAGCAGTCACCTTTACGTGTCCATTCATCAAAACTAAATTACCTCCTGAAACATGAGCCAAGCTGTATAGGACTCTTGTTTATTAGCAGAACTCTGATAATTACTTCTTGATTTCTCTTTTTCAGACATTGAAATTTTATTTTTGGCATTGGCTCAAGTTTTCAAGATAAATGTCTGTTATAATGTCTCTGCCTAATGTTCATTTTACAGTTCACAATTGTTTCATTTTTATTATTTTCTTTATTTTTTCTAGTGTCAAATATAATTTATAGTTGATATAAAATAAGTTTTAGATATAATATGGCCCAGATTAAGAACCCATGCCTAGGAATATGGTGAAAACTAAGTAAATTCATTGTAGGGTGCAATAAACATTGGTTTTGAGCTTGCTACATAAATTAAGATCCATTTATTGGTCCCAGGTCAGCTCTGTCACTTTTCTGCAACTTATCTGCACCAAACATAATGTTTTTTAGCTCTAAAATAGATCAAATATTATTTTCTTCATAAGATGCTTGAACAAAGTAAATAAGAAAATGTTCACAAAAAGTACCCAACAAAGCCAAGTGTTTAATAAACTTTACCTGTGTCTTTAAATGTTGGCTGTTATGGCAAAATACCCTCAGAGCATAAAGTCACGTTTGATAGTTGGCCACCAGCTCGGTTTCTCAGCTGTGGGAGCAGAAATATATATATTTCCCATTAAGGACACAGAAAGTGGGCCAAAAGAAGCAAGTCTAGGCTGGTCTTTCAAAAGACCAGGTCTCAGGTATTTGGTTGTTTTGAGCCACTCAAGCTGCTTGTCTCTCTGCAGCTGATAGGTCTAACAAAAACAAAAGAACATAATGAGAAAGCGGCATGTAGATACACATTTTGAATACAAAAAAATTGTAGCAATGATGGGACCAAAGAAAGATGAAATTCTTGTGCTATGAAGTAATGTATTTATAATTACCAAGCTTGGATACCCATTTATAAGTTTCTGTATTGATGGATCTCTGGGGGTACAGACATTTGCATTTTATACTTCTTTTATTGTGATAATCTGACCAGAAAGAAAGTGTGAAAGTTTGAAACCTTGAGATTATAATAAGTTTGCTTATTATAAATATATAGCCTATTTGTATGTCCTTGGATGTACCATCTTCTCTCTGTGTCATAGTGTCTCTGGCTAAATAAGGCAAATGGAATAAATTATAGACCAGGTAAAAGTTCTAAAAATGTATGGTTCTTTGTATTTTTATTTAGAACAAGATATAATATTCTTTTTAAATCTTTCCTTTGCACAAATTTATTCTATTTGGTTTATAAATAAACTTTTTTATTGTAAACCTCTATGCATGCATCTAGAATAGAAGCAAGAGGTAGTGATGGTTGACACAGAAGAAATCCATGCTTTTCTAACATTGTAATAATAATAAAAATAGATAACATTGTTGAGCTCTTAATATATGCAAAGTAGTTTGCTGTGTATATTAATAAGCTTTATCATATGTAAACCCAAAATAACTATTGGCCTACAAATGGTAGACAGAGAGGTTGAGAACAATAAATGGTAGTGCAAAAATTCAACCAAGTCTAACTTGCACCCTGTGGATGACAAACATTTCTGATGCTACTCAGTGTATCTAAATCTTATTATTGGATTATTTCTAGGTGGTATTCATCTTTATATTTTCTGTTCATTTCTTCCTTACACTTTCTCCTAGTTGAAGCATTGCTTCTTATAAAACATCCCATGCATATTTTACCACCATGAAAAACCACTTTACTTTAAAAAAAAAAAGAGAGATCTATCCACAATATATGGATATATTCTATTTATAAACCTTGTACTTTAAGTATCAATCTGCTGTTAATTACTTCTACTTCTGAATTTATAAACTTGATACCCATACAATGATGCCTGGTTATGTGGTTGCTGTATAGTAACCAAAGTGAAACCAAAGATCAAATTCCCAACGTTCGTTGGATCATCAAAAAAGTGAGAGTTCCAGAAAAACATCTTTTTTGGCTTTATGACTACGCCAAAGCCTTTGAATGTCTGGATCACAACAAACTGTGGGACATTCTTCAAGAGATGAGACTACCAGACCACCTGACCTGCCTCCTGAGAAATCTGCAGGTCAGGAAGCACAGTTAGAACCGGATACAGAATAACAAACTGGTTCCAAATCGGGAAAGGGGTGCATCAGGGCTGTGTATTATCACCCTGCTTGTTTAACTTATATGCAGAGAACATCATGCAAAATGCCAGACTAGATGAAGCACAAGCTGGAATCAAGATTGCCGGGAGAAATATCAGTAACCTCAGATATACAGATGACACCACCCTTCTGGTAGAAAGTGAAGAAGAGCTCAAGAGCCTCTTGATGAAAGTGAAAGAGGAAACTGAAAAAGTTGGCTTAAAATTCAACATTCAGAAAACTAAGATCACGGCATTGAGTCCCATCACTTCATGGCAAATAGATGGGGAAACAATGGAAACTGAGAGACTTTATTTCTTTGGGCTCCAAAATCACTGCAGATCGTGACTGCATCCATGAAATTAAAAGATGCTTGCTCCTTGGAAGAAAAGCTATGACAAACCTAGACAGCATATTAAAAAGCAGAGACAGATTAAAAAGCATTAAAAAGTAGAGACATTACTTTGCCAACAAAGTTTCGTCTAGTCAAAGCTATGGTTTTTCCAGTAGTTGTGTATGGCTGTGAGAGTTGGACTATAAAGGCAGCTGAGCGCAGAAGAATCGATGCTTTTGAACTGTGGTGTTGGAG